TATGTGCCCTCAGTTATGTTGAAAACTGCTAACCTCAAGATTGGTGATTCAAACCCACCCTTTAGCATTCTTTATAAAGTTGTTCTGGTCATTACAAATTCCTTTAGTTTCTGTTTCTCAGGAAATATCTTAATTTTACTATCATATTTGAGGAACAGCTTTGCTGAGTATATGATTCTTGGTTGGCAAGTTTTTCTGTCAGAGTTTTGTGTATGCTGTTCCATTGCCTTCTTGCCTCTGTGGTTTCTGCTGAGAAATCATTGCTTAGTCTTATTGGTTCTCCTTTGTAGTTAACTTTTCATTTTTCCTAAGCTTCTTTTAGAATTCTTTCTGTGTCTTTGGATTTGGAGAGTTCTTGATGATTTTCCTCTGGAATTTATCCTGTTTGGGTTTGTTCAACCTCTTGTATGCTTATCTTCTCATATTTCGTGTTGTTAGAGAAATTTTTTTCCAACAACTCTCTGACAATTTTTCCCTCTTTAATTTATTGTCTCTTCCTGTTCTGGAATTCTGATCCCTATAAGTTGTTCCTCTTCATGGTGTCCCACATGCCTCTTATACTTTAGATTTTTTTCATTCTTTTTTCTGATTTTTCTTCTAGCATACTACTATTGAGAGATTTATCTTCAAGGTCATTAATTCAGGCGTTCATTGCTTTGCCCTTAATGTGTTATCCATTTCTGAGATTCCTAATTAAAGGTTTATATTGTTTCAAAATTTGCATTTATTTTTTTTGTTCTTGTAGTGTTTTCTTGAATTTTTCCTAAGTTTTTTCTTTGTTTTCCTTAATCTTTTTGTCAATCCTTTGAAAGTACCCAAATATCACTTTAAAAAATTCTTTTTCAGTTAGTTCCATTATCTTTTCTACCTCAGAATCATTTATTGGCTCTGCATTTTGGTCATTTGCTTCAGCCATTTTCTCTTATTTCTTCATGTGAACTAAAATTTCATGTTGTCTCTGGGGCACTGTGAGGTTATTGTATTTGTATTTAATTGATGATTGTATGTTGGTATGTTCGCAGGTTCCCACCAACTGTCCCCTGTGGGTGTAGGAGACAATACATAGAAAGTGTAAAGGAGAAAATGCAAAGCAATGAAAGCCTGGATGTGTGTATTCCATTTTTGTTTGCTGTTTGTGCACCTTAGTTTAGGGTGGGCTTGTCTGGTGTTGGCTGCTGTCTATCATTGATGAGGTGGTATAGAAGCTGATATTGCATCTTGCCCAGTGGGTGGAGCTGCAGAGAATACAGTTGTGACTGAGTTGTATGGTCATGGTTGCTGTCTCCTGTTGAGTGGGAATGAGAACCCCCCACACACACACAAGAAAACAAAAAACTGAATAAAATAAAAAAATCAACAATGAAAACAATAAATAATAAAGAAGAAAAAAGAAATAAAAGCAGCTAACAGCTAGAAAAAAGACTATAGTAAGTGTAAAGACAAAAGAGGGACAGTGAAATGGAGTTATAGAAGAGAAAAATAAGATAAAATAAAAAACACTTAAGAATAACTAAAAAGAGAAAAGAAGGGCAGGAAATGGAATTAGAGAAGAGAAAGATTAGAGAAGAAACAAAAAGAAGAAATACAAAAAAATACTTAGAAAGACCAGGGAGAAAGAAGATTAAAAGAGAAAGGGAGACTTGCACAGAAAGATCAAAATGGGGGAAGAAAGAAGAAGGGAAATGAGAAACAAAAGAAAAGAAGGAAAAGCAATAGTGGAGAAAGAAAAGATAAAATTCAAGCAAATGGAAAGGACAAAGAATAAACAAACAGAAACAATGAAACAACAAAAAACAAATAAACAGTACAACTGTTTGATCTGGAGAGGAGGAAACTCTCTGGGGGGTCTTCTGCAAGTCAAGGAACTCATGTGGTGGATGTGAGTGTGATAGCGATGTGACAGCAGACATCTTGGCCCTAGATAGAGTTCTGTTTAGCCTCACTGTTACACTATTACCTGTGTTGAAGTCTTAGTGTAGTGCTGCAGGGTAATGCACTGGACTGCAAGGTCAATTTGAACTGCAAGGTTGGTGGTTCAAACCCACCAACCACTCCTTGGAAACTCTATACACTATGTGTTGGAATCGACTTGATGGCACTTAACAACAACAACAACATTACCTATGTTGAATTCCTGGTGTGGCTCTGTGGGTTAATATATTGAACTGTGAGGTTGGTGGTTCAGGCTCACCAGCCACTCCTCAGAAACCCTATACAGGGTTGCTATGAGTCATAAACAACTCAACAACACTTAACAACAACAACAAATTACCTACGTTGAGTGTCCTCAATCCAGAAGTAGTTCATGGAGGCCCTTGATGGAGCTGGTTTCAGTTTCTGTTAGGAACACAGAGTAACTGGACGCAGGGTAACTGGTTAAATGCTGATTTGGTGGCTCTGTAGGTTCTGTAGATCTAGAGCCAAGCCCACCTGAATCTAGGTGCATCCCAACCAAGTGGCTCTGAACACCCAGAGAGCAGGGTCTGTGCTGGGGCTGGAAATGGTTGGGAGCTGGCTACGTTTCTGCTCACCACAGGAGCATGGGGAAAATGAAGGAATCACACCTTTTCCATTGCCTGTGTGAATCTACTCTGCCAGGCCACCTTCTGTTGTCAAAGCTGCTCACAAAAGTTAAAGATGGTAGTGCAGCATCTGGCTAGCTGTTCACCGTTTGTCCTCTCTCGCAGTTCGTGCTTAGCCTTTTCTCCCAGCAAGCACTCAATCCATTTTTCTAACCTCTTCTTTGAAGTTCAGGGTTCCAGAATTTTACCTGTGTCTGTTTAATTTGGTCTCTCGTATCTTTGTTATAGAGGGTCTGTGTAGTGTGTGTGCCTTGTCCGCCGTCTTGCCAGAAGGCCTATATTTTCAAAGAGAGTAACTAGACTTTGTGGTTAAGTTTTACTTCAGTACAGAAAATTTTCAAATCTTTCTTCTTTTTTTGCCTTTTTACATGTAAATGAAACCTTTGATTTTTAGTTTAAAGGAACATGTTCAACCAACAACAAACAAAAAGTGGTTTGCAAAACCGTTAGAGTTTTTGACTTTTTGTTCATAGTAAGTAACTGAGACATATTACTTGTTACTTTTTAAGGTATTTTTATATTACAGAATTGATTGTCATTGCATTACTGATACACTTCGTGTTTTTGGTATATTTATAATTTATAAGATATTTCTATGTTTTATGTAAGGTTGTCATAGCTAAGCCTTGTTAAATTATTAAGAAGATAGATATATTTATGCAGGCTTTTATAGCTCAGACATTTTCTCACTTAGTCCTTATAATACCACTAAAATTTAGAGAAATTAAGTGACTTGGAGTCATAGTATCTGGGGATAGGTGAGAGCTCAAACATCGTTCTTCTCACTTCAAGTGTATTTCAGAGCTTTACAATACCTCTTCATTGGACTAAGCATATTTGTAAAGATTGCTGCCATTGCTTAAAAGTTATGTTGGTTCTAAGATTCGAAGCATTCTTTCAGTTGAGCTTATAGAACTGTATTTCTCTGTAGAAATGGGTTTTATTCATTAAGTTTGAGAAGTTAAAGTTAATTCTTTAATTCTGTGAATTCTTGAAAGAATAAACATTTCGAAGAGTGATTTCTGGAAGCTGAGGAATTGTTAAGTGCTGTCGAGTCAGTTGGACTCATAGTGATGCTATATAGGGTTTCTGAGAAGCAACTGGTGGGTTTAAACTGCCAACCTTGTGGTTCTCAGTCCAGGGCTGATCCTACAGCACCACTTCCATGAATTCTTGAAAGAATAAACTGACCTTTGGAAGGGTGATCTCTGAAAAGATGCGGGATAGAAGGAATTAATAATAGACTGTTGTAACACCCATGGAAAATACAAGCTATACCAGCTATGTTCATTAGTGTTTCATTTTAGACCTATTTTCAGGCTTAAAGAAAATGTTGAGTAATATTCTGGCATTTGCTACCAGTTTACTCAAGACCTGTGAAAACACAATACTGGCAAGAACAAATGTTATTCTCTCTTGTCTGTGTCCTCTAAAGAATTAAAGTTTTATAGAATATAATCTGTTTTCCTCCTCTATTTATTTTTATGTTATACTGTTATATTTTTTTCTTTAATCTATAAGGATGTAGCTAGATCGTACATACAAGAGCAGACAGAAACATGAAGAATCTTGTTTAAACATGAAAAAGAATTACCTGACAGAGAATGAGTACTATAAAACAAGTTTTCAGTGCTCTTCAAACCTAGTCCTAGGCAAAGTTACTGCTATAATATACTGCTGAGTCCTGGTGTAGCACTGTGGGTTAATGCACTCTACTGCAAAGTCAATTTGAACTGCAGGGTCAGCAGTTCAAGCTCACCAGCTGCTTCTTGGAAACCCTGTACAAGTTCACTATGAGTTGGAACTGACTTGATGGCACTTAACAACAACAACAAGGGAGAATATGAAATTTTCTTCTTTGAGCATCCTTACAAGTAGGTTAGATTCTCTTCTATTTGGGGACCTTGCTCCCATCTTAACTGATTGCCCTGTACTGAGAGGGTGTGAGGGCTAAGACCATATGCTGTGGTTCACCTCTTGAGGAATTTACAGCTTGTTTTATTAGTCACTGCTTTTTACTTCTGAGACTCGGAGAAGCTGATATATACAGGGACCAGCGGGTGAGTTAATTTTTAAAAAAGCTGTTGCCAGCTCTTAAAGGTTTGTGGTAATTGTGCAAACAGATTGCCTGGACAGAGTCAAGGAAAAGATGCCAAATCTTCATATCCACTTGTTTGAATAAGCATTCCATTATTATTTTAAGAGTCCTTTTTAAATTCTAAGGAAGAAATGTTAAGTAACTATGAGATGGCAAAAAGCTGATGGGTGTATAAGGGAGAGGGAAAGAGTGGGTGGTCTACAAAATCAGTCATCAGCTACTGTATTCTAGAAAATTGAGTATCATTTGCTGATTAGCTTGTAGAATTGGTGATAACTAATGAGTATACCATTTCTTCTGCTTGTTGGTGCAAAACAGTGAGGCGGTTTAAGAGGAAGCATCTTACAGCCATCGACTGCCAACATTTGGCTCAGAGTCACTTGTCTGTGACCCAGCCCTTCGGTCAAAGATGGACAAACAGAGATCCGAACCATGGTCTCTATCCTAGATCCAGAACAAAAAGAGGGAGTAGGGGTATGTCTTCCAAAAAAGTATCTTGCATTTCCAAATCTATAGCTGTGTTTGGCCTTTGACCATCTCCCACTTTTAAAGTATTTGTCAATATTGCTGCTGTGATTTTGTAGTCCTATTGTAATAACTTGACATCTTTAAAAATTATGTGTGAGTTGTCCATGAAAATTCCACCCTATTTATAATGGTTGGTAAAGGCCCAGGGCAAATGTGATAAAATGACTTTTATTAACTTGCTTAATTATAAAGTGATAGAAAACGTAGACCAGTATCACCATTATTCCAGTCTTGACACATGACTACTTGACTCTTCATTAGTCCTCTTTGTCCATTCTGTAACAAGGTTAACTGTGACATTTTTTCCCGTCTAAAATGTTGCCTCATCTAATGCTTTCTTGGTAATCTCTGCCCTTGTCACCTACTACCCAGACTTCTGCAGTAACCCTCCGTAACCCTCCTCCTTGTCTCTGTGTTTTATTTCTTCCAAACCACTGGGCATACGTATCATTGAGTTAAGATTCTGGTATACTGCTTTCTATCCTGTCACTGCTCTTCTCAAGAACCTACAACGTCTCCATTTCACTATCGTAGACTCAAGCACCATCACCTGGTATTTATTACATGAACATTCCACTTCTGGCAGTTTGGTTTTCTCACTACCCCACTATGTGTCAAACACATTTCTACTTTTGTTAATATTTGTTAGTATCATGTAGATTGCTTTTTCCCTTTAATGTATGCATTTTCAGAATCCAGCATAAATTATTTTGTTCTTGCTTTAAATATTGTAATATGTGTTTCTCTTTTGCTGTTGGGAACTGCTATAACCACTTTCAAACTTAATTATATATTGTGTACTATTTTATTTATTGTTACTTATTGTTTTACGTGTGAGCTTCTCATCTCTTGTAAGTTCTTGACTAATCAGGACTTTGTCGGCATCTGTATGTTACATTGTGTAGTCCTAATGCTGATATGTTTTAAGTTGTTGTTGTTAAGTGCTATTGAGTTGGTTTCTACCTATAGCAACCCTATATAGGGTTTCTGAGGAGGAACTGGTGAGCTTGAACCGCCTACCTTGCAGTTTAAACTAACTTTACAGTTTAGCACATTAACCCATGGTGCCACACCATGACTCCGTTTAGTAAGTAGACCCTAAATAAAAACTGCTGTCATTGAATTAAACATCTAGGAAAAATTAGGTCTTAACTAAATCCTTATTGATTTCAAAACTCTTTTTATCCAACTGCCCCAGAAGCAGTTATTATTGCTTTTTTTTTTTTTAACATAAAAAGATTAATTTAAAATTATTTTAATGTGAAATCTAGTTTACTCCATTCTCTTATTTCCCTAAGTGAGAATCTTGGTACAGGCATTTATAAAGGATCAATGTATATTGTTCTATATTGGTGAGATAGCTAAATGCTTCATTAGAACTTAAAAAATGTTCTTTTTGGAGCTTAAAAATACAGTGATGATGTCTGAAATCACCATTAGGGCTCTTTCAGTGCCTAAAAAAGGAGCCCTGGTGGCACATTGTTTAAGCACTCAGCTGCCAACTAGAAGGTTGGTGGCTTGAACACACTAGCTGCTCCGTGGGAGAAAGATGTGGTAGTTTGCCTTTGTAAAGATTGTTGTTGTAAAGATTACAGACTTGGAACCCTTATGGGGACAGTTCTACAATGTGTCCTAGAGGGTTACCATGAGTAGCAGTAGGTTAAGTGCTTAATTAAATCTGAAAGGTTTTATATAATTCTGTTACTTTGCATTTGTCTCAATCAGAGCTGCTTAGTAAATGCCTATTGAATTAATATATAGACTTGATTAAGTTCCATTCTAGTAATATGAGGTGAATCCTGATTCTTTTTATTTTACAAGAAATGAATGTATCAGTTTCACCTAGAAGGCAATAAAAATAAAAGAATTTTAGCAAGGTCGTTTTTTTCCATTTCAGTTTTAGAAACTCAGTCAAATAAGAAGAGTGGGTTTTTCTAAATCCTGATTAATATGAAACATCTTCCTTTTTCCTTAGCCAAACCTAGATTTCTGTTTCAGGCGTAAGCCTGGAGAGGTACATGTGTGTAAGTCTGTGTGAAAACATGAGCAGTCACTAACTTTTTGTCATCCAGTCCAGTATTCCATTTGCGGCATATTCTTTTCTACTTGTGTATATTGCCAGGTATACTGTGGGTCATCATACCATTCAAAGACTGGTCGCTATCTCTTTCCAGATGTGTGTCTGATTAAATGATAGAGCCAAGTATAAGTATTTTTTGGATTAGCTTTCTTAGGATGTAAAGCTGTTGACTAAAACATATATCTTTGTTCCTTTTCTCTACTACTGTAATTGTGGGTCAGCAGTCATTGCTCATTTCCTGTTCTTTCTGTTTGGGTTCTCTCTACAGGTCAAGGATGCCAAAGATACATCACTGAATTCTTCCTAGCTGGCCAGCAGCAGTGCACCAATGACATGGCCAAAAGCAATTCTGTTGGCAAGGATGACTACAAGGATTCTGATGGTGAAATGATTGTTTCTGCAGAAGGCAATTATGCTCTTCTTCAGGGAGGTGATCAGGAAGCTAGATTGGGTTCTTCAGAATCTACTCTGCCTTCAAGGAAGCGGTCTCAGTCCTTTGATGAAGACAATAATCAAGTTTCGGGGACCAGCCAGTGGGATGGAGCATCTAAGAAAACCCGAAGGCGTCATTTGTCCTCGTCGTGCCAAAGGCCTAGGGAATTTAGACAAGCAGCAGAAGACTGTTTGTCATGGCTCTCTGCAGAGTCTGGAGAACCTAACCAAAAAGAAGAGGATATTGGTCCTGATCCCATTCCTGACACATACTATGGGCTTCTTGGGACCTTGCCCTGTCAGGAACTTCCGAGCCTCATTTGTAGCCTGCCTCGTGAAGTCCTGAGACATATCTTTGCTTTCCTCCCTATAGAAGATCTCTATTGGAATCTAAGTTTGGTATGCCATCTTTGGAGGGAGATCATCAGTGATCCACTGGTACGAAAAATGAGTATAGTTGTATGACCTTTTCTCTATAAGTACCTAACACCACTTTATCAAATGCATACTTTTGATTATAGTTTTTCTTCAGAAATGGTGGTTTCTATTTGCCTCCAGAACAACGTCCAAACCCTTTAGTGGCACTGTAGGATAAGCACTCAACTGCATGGTTGGTTTGAACCACAAAGTTGGCGGTTCAAACTCACCAGACGATTCTCTATACAGGGTTGCTATGGGTTGGAACTGACTCCATGGCACTTAACAACAACATATTATTCCAGCCTCATTGCACACTGCACACTTCCTCCTAAACACACCATTACATTCTATACCCAGCAAATAATTTTCTGTGTCTGGATCAGAGACTGTATATTTCTCAACCTCCTGGTGTGGGGCTGTGGGATCCGCACTGGACTGCGTACCACTACGTCGGCAGTTCAACCCTACCAGGTATTCTTCAGAAACTCTATACAGGGTCTCTCTGAGTTGAAACTGACTTGGTGGCACTTAACAATAGTGACAACATATATTATCTGGACTCCTGGTGTGGCACTGTATGATCAGCATTAGACAACAAACCACAGGTCAGCAGTTCAAACCCACCAGCTGCTCCTCAGAAGTCCTGTGTTGTTGTTGTTGTTGTTAAGTGTCATCCAGTCGATTCTGACCCATAGAGACTCTGTATTGTGTGTCTGAGAAACAGCTGGTAGGTTTGAACCGCTGACCTTGTGGTTCACAGCCTAGTGCTTATTTTACAGTGCCACACCAGGACTCCTGGAAACCCTATAAGCATTGCTATGAGTCAGAAGTGACTTGATGGCACTTAACAACAACAACAAAACAGCATATGTTATCTATTCTCCCCCTCCCCCCCACTCTTAGCAACAACAACAACATAGTTAGTCTTATTACTGATCTGACTCCCTGCTCTTTCCTTTGTTGTTTAATGTTAATTCTTCTCATCCAAATTAAGGTTCTCTCTCAGGTAAGCCTGAGAAGGGGGTAAATGTTTTGCTTGGTTTATACTCGAAGTGACTTTGCAGGATAAACACTAGACTACAAACTACAAGGTCAGTGGTTTGCACCCACCAGCTATTCCTTGGGAAGAAGTTGAGGCTTTCTGCTACCGTGAAGATATAGCCTCGAAACTCTATACAGGGTCACTATGAGTCAGAACTAAACTGATAGCACTTAACAACAACAATAACAACAAGAGCATCATTTAGACCAGCCATTAGGGATAACTCAGAGATACTGAAATTAAATCTCCCTTCAACTACACTTACTCCTCATCTCAATTATCTGACATTTGCATTTATGACAGTAGTGAAAAATTAACTATTTTGTGTATTCCTGGTGTACATCTGGTGGTAACGAATGCCAAGGTACAAGGTGAAAGAGTAATGTTGGTTCTGATGGTTAAGGTTATGGATCAACTTGGTTGGGCCATGATTCTCAGTGGCTTGGCAGGTATATAATCTGTCAGTTATGGAGTAGTGATGTAATTTGACAGTTATGTAATGACATAGTCATTCTTTATTTTGTGATCTGATGTGCTCATCCTCTATTCCTTGCATAATGCTTATTCTCACATAACACCCTGGTCCTTAGAACCTGACAGTGTTGCAGAGTAAGGAGTGGGTGTTTATGGAAGTTAAAAAAATTTAGAATGGGAGTGCAAGATGGATATATAAGGTATATTTTTTCTAAGCACAAAAGATTTTGGAGTAAATTTCATGTCACTCTTATTCCCTAGTTTCTGAGAAATATCTTTGTGCTTTTAGATGGAAACACTGTTTTGTGTCATATTTCTACTTAGTAAATAGTTCTACTTACTTACCTCTTGAGATGTTAGGATGCTTCTATATGAGGAGACTTCAAAAAGTACACAGAAAATGGAATTAAAAGTTAATGGAATTTTTCTACAAACTTTTGGAAACCCCCGCATACTTATCATACCAACAAAGACATGACATGTTTTCTTTTCAGTAACCTGTCATAATTCTCATATTATTTTATGACATGAACGAGGATTGCACCTCTGAGCCATTGTTGTTCTCTAGTGCCATTGATTTTGACTCTCAGAGATCCTGTGCACAACAGAATGAAATACTGCCTGGTCCTCTGCCATTCTCACAATACTTGTTATGCTTGAACCCATTGTAGCTGTTGCCACTGTGTCAGTCCATCTTGTTGAGAGTCTTCCTTTTTTTCACTGACCCTCCATTTTTCAAGCATGATGTCCTTCTCCAGGACTTGTCCCTCATGGTAACATGTCTAAAGTATGAGAGACAAAGTCATGCCATCCTCACTTCTAAGAAGCATCCTAGCTGCACTTCTTCCAAGACAAATTTATTTGCTGACAATCCATGGTACTTCCAATATTCTTTGCCAACACTATGCGTTGATTCTTCGATGTTTTTCCTTATTCATTGTCCAACTTTCATATGCATATGAGGCAATTGAAAGTTCTGTGGTTTGGGTCAGGCACACTTTAGTCCTCACACTGACATCTTTGCTCTTGAACACTTTAAAGAGATCCTGTGCAGCAGATTTACTTAATGCAGTACATTATTTGATAATCTTGAATGCTGCTTCCATCAGTGTTGAAAGTGGATTCCAGCAAAATGAAGTCTTTGACAGCTTCAGTCTTTTCTCCATTTATCTCAGTGTTATTTACTGGTCCCATTGTGAGGATTTTGTTTTCTTTGCATTGAGGTTCAGTCAACACTGAAGGCTGTAGTCTTTGACTTTCATCAGTAAGTATTTCAAGTCTTCTTTGCTGTCAGCAAGTAAGGCTGTTGTTATCTGTGTATTGCTGGTTGTTTTTGAATCTTCCTCCAATCATGATGTCACATTCTTCTTTATATAATCTAGTTTCTCTGATTATTTGTGCCCCGTACCGATTGAATAAGTATGGTGAAAGGATACAACCCTGGTGCACACCATTTCTAATTTTAAACCATTTAATCTGTCCTAACGACTGCTTGTTGGTCTGTGTACAGGCTCCTCATCACAATTGGATGTTCAAAAATACCCGTTCTTAGCAGTGTTAACCATAGTTTATCATAATCCACACAGTTGAAAGCTTTTGCATAATCAATAAAGCAGGAATAAACATCTTTCCTGGTACTCTCTGCTTTCAGCTGAGATCCACTTGTTGTTGGTAATGATATTCCTATTTCCACATCCTCTCCTGATTCTGAGTTGAATTTCTGGCACCTCTCTCTCAATGCTCTGCTGTAATCATTTTTGAATTATCTTACGCAAAATTTTACGTGCATATGATATAAATGATTTTTACATTCTGTTGGGTCACCTTTATTTGGAGTGGTCACAAATAAGGGTCTGTTCCAGTTGGTTGACCAGGTCTTCCAAATTTCTTGGGAGGTAAGTGAGCACCTCCAGTGTTGTATCAGTTTGTTGAAAGATTTCAATTGGTATTCAGTCAGTTCCTGGAGCCTTCTTTCTCGCCATTGCCTTCAGTACTGCTTTGCACTTCCTTTTTCAGTATCATCAGTTCTTGATCATATGCTATCTCTTTTGAACATTGACCAATTTTGTTTGCTGTAGTGACTTTGTGTACTCCTTCCATCTAATGTTTCCAGCATCATTCAATATTTTGCCCATTAATTGAGTGCCATTGAGTCAGTTCTGGCTCATAGCGATCCTGTTAGGGGTTCCTTGGCTGTAAATGTTTGCGGGAGCAGAAAGTCTAATTTTACTCCTGAGGAGTGGCTGATAGACTCAAAATACCAACTTTGTGGTTAGTAGTCCAGTGTTTATCCTATATAGTCATTGTGCTTCCTTTTGTCCCCATAAGATCCTTCAGTATCGTAACCCCAGGCTTGAATTTTTTTCTTCAGTTCTTTCAGCTTGAGAAATGTTGAGTGCGCTCTTCATTTTTGGATTCCTAATCCAGGTTTTTGCACCTTTCACTATAATGTTTGACATTGTCTTCTTGAGCTACCCTTTAAAACTTTCTTTTCAGTTCTTTTACGTCATAATTTCTTCCAATTGCCTTAGCTTCTGTACATTCAAGAGCAAGTTTCAGAGTCTCTTCTGACATCTGTTTTTGTCTTTTCTTTTTTTCCCTTGTCTTTTAAAATGACAGGTTAAAATGATGTTGTTGATGTCATCCCACAACTCTTTTATCATTTTCTGTCATTAGTGTCTAATACATCAATTCTTTTCTTGAGATGGTCTCTAAATTCAGGTGGGACATACTCAAGGTCCTATTTTGGCTCTCGTGAAACTGTTTTAATTTTCTTCAGCTTCAACCTGAACTTGCATAAAAGCAATTAATGATCTGTTCCACAGTCTGCCTATGGCCTTGTTTTGGCTGATGATTGTGAGCTTCACTATCAGCTTTTCCCACAGATGTAGTTGATTTGTTCCTGTGTATTCCATCTGGTGAAGTGGATGTGAAAAATAGTATTTGCAATAAATAAATCACTGGTCTTGCAAAATTCTATCCGGTGCTTTCCAGCATCATTTCTGTCACCAGGGCCATAGTTTCCAACTACTGAAAATTCCTATTTGTTTTAAAATTTTCATATCCAATCACTAGTGATTATGAATACATCTTAATTGCATGTTTGATCAATTGTAGTGTGAAGAAGTTGGTAGTATTCTTCAATTCATCATCACTGGCTTTATTAGTTGGTATGTAAATTTGAGTAATAGCAGTATTGACTGGTCTTTCTTGTAAGCATATGCATATAATCCTATCATTAGTTTTCTGATATTTCAGATGGGAACACTGAAGTACTGGCTTTTCTCAGATCTTATAACTTCTTAGTGACATTTAAGTTCTCGATGTTTGTTTCAACCTATTGTTCCAATTTATTACTGATTTGTTATGTTCAGATCACAGATTGTACCTTCCTTACCCTATTTGTTGTTGTTAAGTGCTGTTGAGTTGGTTCTAACTCCTAGCGACCCTGTATAGGGTTTCCGAGGAGCAGTTGGTGAGTTTGAACTGCTGATCCTGTGGTTCAAGCTGACCTTGCAGTCTAGTGCTTGATCCCACAGCACCACCCCAGGACTTGTTGCCCTTATCCTCCCATCCTCATGTCAGGACCTCGTCTTGTATCTTTGTTCTTCAAGGCTTATCTCTTATACTAAGTACTCTCTGATTTTATCCATTGAAATTAATCACATATTAATCACTAGAACAAGTTAGTGTTGGGACCAGGACCCAAATTTTTGTGTTTTTATCTGATTTGCCATTTTTGATTTGCAAGCTATAATTGCTTTTCAGTTTAGTAGAAGGTTATCTATGAGTTTGTCTGTCTAATAGTCACTGTCTATGTGTACTTTTGGATTATTTAAACTATCTAGTTCATCCCTTGGAAAAAGCTGTATCATCGCTATCTGATGAATGAAGAGCAAGCTGTCAGCAAAGTGGATGGTATCCTCTTGAACTATGGCATAGAAAAGGATTCAGACTTGTGTGTGTTGAACCTCATACGGTGAGTTGTTTCTCTCCTGGAAGGGGACAATTTGTGAAGACCTTTGCCACAAGTTTGCATTATGATCATCTTTTGTATGGACTGTTGTGTGTGTGTGTTTTACAGATACACAGCTACCACTAAGTGCTCCCCAAGCGTAAGCCCTGAAAGGGTGTTGTGGAGCCTCAGGGACCATCCCCTTCTTCCTGAGGCAGAAGCATGCGTGCGTCAATACCTGCCTGACTTGTTTGTTGCTGCTGGGGTATGTGAGAGGCTATGGGGAGTTATTGCATATGGTGCCTTCTTTTTTTCATTGAAAGATAATGACTAAATTCAAGTAACTAAGTTCAGCTGAAGGTTACTTTATGTTTTCAGAATCTTAATCTCTGAATGCTTTGAAGCATTAATTTGTTGTAGGTCTCATTAGAGAAATAAAAGGCAATATAATCATAGCGTCTTAGATTTAGAAAGAATTAAAAAAAAAAAAACAAAAAAACCATTTAGTACAATTTGCCATTCTGTTGAAGAATCCTTCCTGAAATATGTCTGAAAGGTGGCCATCTAGCTTCTAAACACTTTGATTAATAAGGATTGCTTTACAACAAAGAAATAGATGCCCTCTTTAAGAAGAAGGCTTATGAACTGTAGTAATGTTCAAAATGATAAAGGTCTATATCCAATATTGACTATTTCTGTGCTAGAAAAATTTTCTTATATATTACTAAATGGAGCATACTATGCCCATAAAAAATCAACATCTTAATGCCAGAGATTTGCTCGTCTTGCTATTTCTCCCCTAAAGATTGCTGGCATCTTTTGTATCTCCCATAGTGCCTTGTATGAAAAGTAGGCACTCATTCAGTTGTTTTGGTATGATTCTTCTCATTATTTGGGAACCTGGGAACTCACACTGACCAGGAAATGGGGGTGGAGGGTGTGGGGAGAGATGGGAGGGAATTAATATTTTTGCAATGTCATTTCTGTGGAAGGTTCTTTGTTAGATATTTTATATATTATTTAATTAACAAACAGAGCTCAAATCTAAAAGTGATGAGAAGAAAGGGTCCTAGGGCAAAAAGTAAAATCCTCATTATTTCTCAACTATTATTTGAGAAGTGTAGACACAGTTTAGATAATCTGTAAATGGTATCAGAACCCAACTTGGCTTTCTTCACTGATTGTCTGATCTGATTTTGATTAGTTGTAACCTGTATCTTGGGACCTTTTCTCCCATCCCTGGTCCACCTCACTTCACAGGGTGTCAACGTGTGGGCTTTGGTAGCGGCTATTGTTCTCCTCTCCAGCAATGTGAATGACATCCAGCAGCTGCTCTTCTGCCTCAGGAGACCGAATTCCACAGTGACCATGCCTGACATCACTGAGACCTTGTACTGTGTAGCTGTGCTTCTCTATGCCATGAGAGAGAAGGGAATAAACATCAGCAATAGGTAAAGCAGTGGAAGAGAATGAGGAGACACTGAGATAGAATGAAAATGTGCCTTACTTGGTAAAAGTCCCAGATCTGTCACTTACCAGTTGTAACATTAAGCAAAATCCATAAAACTCATAATGGCCAGTCTCAGTGTCTTCCTCTGCAAAGTATTGTGAGGCTCAAATTTAAAAAGGTAGTTTCCTGAGTTTATGAGTGCTTTGTGAATAAAAGGTGCTATATTTCCATAATACATCAGTGAGGCAGTTTTTACATTGAAAGCCTTATGTGAGGTGTCCTTACTTAAAACAAGCCTTCTTCTTCCATGGTCACATTTTCCTAGGAAAATGTGTGGATCTGTTTCTTCTGTGTCTTATTTTTGGGGTGGGATATAAGGATTGTGGAAAGGTCTAGCTTACAGAAAGACTACTGTACACAGCATGGTGGGTTATAAATTCAGAGTGACTTTAATGATTTTACTCACCAGAGTGTGAAATAAGCCCAGGTCAGTTTTAAAAGGATATCTGCTTATTATAACTATGTGAACACTTACTACCTGTCAGGTCGTTTTCCAGATACTAGGGGTCTAAGGCCGGTTTTGCTTTCTAGAGAAGCAAAACCAGTGAAATATGCATATATATGTATATGTGTGTGTGTGTGTGTGTGTGTATTGTTGTTGTTGTTAAGTGCCGTGGAGTCGGTTCTGACTCATAGCGACCCTGTACAGGGTTTCCGAGGCTGTAAATCTTTACGGGAGCAGAAAGCCTCATCTTTCTCCCGCAGAACAGCTGGTAGTTTCGAACTGCTGACCATGAGATTAGCAGCCTGATTTGTAATTACTATGCTATCAGAGCTCCTTATATGTATATATATATGTGTGTGTGTGTGGATCCAGGAGAAGCAGAAGTCTCAGAGAGAATTTCCTTTCTTTAGTCAAAAACAGTGCACCCTGGAGTTAAGAGCCCTAAGAAGAAGAATAAGGAACAGTGGTTAAGTGCTTGGCTGCTAACTGAAAGGTTGGTAGTTTAAAGCCACCAGCCACTCCATGGGAGAAAGATGTGGCAGTGTGCATCTATAAAGGTTAAATCCTTGAAAGCTGTATGGGATAGTTCTCCTCTATTCTATAGAAGCACTGTGAGTTGGAATCAATTCAATGGCAGTGGGTGAAGAGGAAGAGTGACTTGTGGCAGGAACCAGGCGAGCTGTAGCTCACTCATCCTTGGTGAAGTACAAGGATGAAACATTTATTCTCATGTGCTTCAGAATATTTGCTGTATTTTTGAGTTATGTTTCAATTCATTAAATATGGATTTGTGATATTGAGCTATGGAGTAAGGAGCTTTTTGAATAATTATTACAAATGATGAATAATGTCTATAAGTACAATTATAAACCTATAAATTATCTGCATGTTTACATCATACATGAGGAATGGGAGGCATGATATGTTGATTTTTGTTGTGCTTATATATTTCTTCCTTCTTTATTCGGAAGATATCCTACTATGACCAGATACTGAAATGTTTATCATAAAAGCTACTTGTTGCATCAAAAAGATTGATACTTGGAGATAACCTCTTTTCATTCTTGTGATGGGGAGCAATGCACTAAAATGTGGGGGATTGGTGATCAAGGAGATAATTGAAATTTCTTATCTGTAGTCCTCTTAATGACTCAGAGCTGTTTTGTCTTGTAGTCCTTGGTAATATCTTCTTGCTCTCTCTCTTTTTTTTGTGTGTGTGTGGAACTTTTCTTTGTGAATTGAGTGAAAGTTTACTGAGCAGACCATCATTTTTACATTGAACAAATCATTCTCTTAGTTTCATCTCAATGATTGCAATCCCCTCTATGTGACAACAGTTGTCCCACTTCCTCCCTTTGGTTCTTATTTCTGTTCTACCCTCCTTTCCAACCCTTCTCAGCTTTGTCCTTAGGTAAATGTTGTCCTTTGATTTTGAATGGCTGACCATTCCATGATGAGCATACCTTATTAGTGTTGTTGTCCCTCCTTTATACCTACTTACTGTTTGGTTGAAAATTGGGTCATGAGGGTGAGTTCCATTACAGACTTGAAGGGTGGTTGAGGGTCATAGTCTCATTTTCCAACAGTCCCTTTCTGACCATCTTTTTTTTTCTTTTTTAAAAATAATTTTGAGTTTTGTTCCTCATTTTCTTCCACACTATCTGGGACTTTCTAATGTGATCCCTTTCAGAGCAGTTGGTTGTGGTAGCTAGGTACCATCTAGTTCTAGTTTCAGAGTCATGGTGACTGACTAATGTTCACATGCTCCATTGGTCCATGGGGATTAGTAGATTCTAAGCACATTCAGTTTTAGTCACTCTTTTTACTTCTGCACGTGGAAAGACCAATAGTTGCTCTTAGATGGTCGCTCATGAGCTTTTAAGTTCCTAGTCATTACTCACTAATGTAGGATATGGAACATTGTCTTTGTGGACTATGGTATGCCAGTTGATCATGGTGTCCCACAAGACTATGGTCCTAATCCCCCAGGCTCAATAACTCATTGCTTCAAGGTGTTTGGTAATACCTAAGAATGTAATGTCAAAAAGTTTGCATCATTTTGTTCCTTGTATAGTCTACAACATTCTTAGGTATGTTTACACCAAAGGTAAATAAATACCCAGGTACAAATATCCTCTGTCAAGCACTTATATATTTGTGGTTATACTCCCACTTTCCCTGTCATACCCGTTCTGCTTGTGTATCTGTCCATGTAGCTACCTGCTACCCACTAATGTTTCAGGGTTGTTTATATAACAGTATGTATCTCTATCCCCTTTAGCCCTTGTATTCCTCCTTGTGTCTTCACCTGTCTTCATCATTCTTCTGCCAACCTCTCTCATTGTATATTGCCTTCCCTGTTACCTGAGTTAATACATGTTTACCCTCTAGTCAGTGAATTTGGTAATAATATCTTATCAGTATATGGCCTTTCCTTTGGGAACTTAAAGGTCAAATGTCATTCATGCTTCCAATCAGTATGACTTCACAAGAAGCAGAGAGACTAAGGCCGAGAAAGATAGATGATGACATTAAGTTTGTGTTGAACAAGAATCTCATTGCTAGGAGCAGAATTTACAAGGTCACAGTTAGTGTTCTTGCTCCCCAGAAAGCATTTCCTGATCTCTTTCTCCTTTTGTAATTCTCTATTGAAACAAGTGTCTTTTTCAGAATTGTGTGCCTAGAGAGCTTTTGTCAGCTGCTGATACACTAAATTTTTATGCAGATAATCCATGCTTTATGGTTTTAGCATACTGTGCAACTCTCTTGCTCATTAGTTTTCTATGCATGCTGTTTGCTATGTGCATGTACTGGTTATATTGCCATAAAATTGGTGGTAGGTATTTCCTTTTTTGAAAAATTGAATAGTTTAAAAGTTTCTCAGAAAAATTAAGATACAGACCTTGAATTTGAACGTTACTAAATCTACTTTTTTTTTTTTTTCCTGTTAGGATTCACTACAACATTTTTTATTGCCTGTATCTTCAGGAGAATTCCTGTACTCAGATCACAAAAGTTAAAGAGGCACCATCTGTTTGTCCAGCGTATGTATAGATCTACATGTGTGTGTGTCTCTGTGTATGTATTTTTAATTTTTTTGGTCTTCCATACTTGGCTCTGTCCCATACTTACAGAAAGTAGGTATTTTGTTTTGTTTTGAAGTATAATGTATATAACATAGAATTCAAACGTTTAAAATATACAACTCAGTGACTTTTAGTAAATTTACAAAGTATACCACCCTCACCATAATTTAGTTTTTAGAACATTTTTATCACCCAGGAGGTGATTAAAAAAGCAGGCCTTTTTGTTTTGTTTTTATTCATCCAATTTATCTTTGTTTTTTGTGACAGTCCATTACTTGGTCTTTTCAGTTATTTTCTTGTTTTCTCATTTCTTTTCCAAAATGATTATAGCAAAAAACCCACCATCCAACTTACAAATGAACAACAACTGATTCTGAATCATAAGATGGAACCTCTCCAGGTGGTGAAAATTATGGCATTTGCAGGTAAGGGAACTCACTATTCCTAGAGTAGTTAGAATCAGGATGTGGTTTTCGGCCTTTTACTACCGTACCCTCCTTCCCTTATACTTCCCATTGTGTCTTTACCTTGATCTTTATCAAGCAAACTCAGTCAAAGAAGCTGAAAAGCAGTTAGTATTGGTTCCTTCCTATCTAGACCAAAGAAGAGTGAAGAAAATGAAAAACACATGGAAACAATTAATTTAGTGGACTCATGAGCCATGTGAACATCAATCTCCACAACCCTGAAACCAGAAGAACTAGATGGTGCCCAGTTACCACTACCAACTGCTCTGAAAGAGACCTCATTAGAAGGTCCTGATAGGTTGGGAGAAAGATGTGCAAGAAAACTCAAACTCATAAGAAAGGCCAGGCTTTCTGGTCTGATAGAGACTGGTGGAATCCCTGAGACTATGTCCCTTAGTCACACTTCAGATGTGGACTGGAACTCACCCCTGAAGCTCAATTTTCAGACAAACAATATACAGGTCTATAATGCAAAGTATGAGTATTCTGGAACACTTAATTGTGCTCACGAGGAACCTGTACATAGACCAAGAGGCAGTTGTTCAAACAAAACAAGGGAACACCGAATGGTTTAAAATCAGGAAAGGTGTGTTCCAGGGTTGTATTCTTTCACCATACTTTTTCAACCTGTATGCTGAACAAATAATCCAAGAAACTGGATTATATGAATAAAAATGTGACATCAGGATTGAAGGAAGACTCATTAACAACCTGTGATATACAGATGATACAACCTTGCTTGCTGAAAGCCAAGAAGACTTAAAATACTCATTGATGAAGATAAAAGACCACAGCCTTTGGTATGGGTTGCACATCAAGGTAAACAAAACAAAATTCCTCACCACCTGGCCAATAAATAACATCCATATAAATGGAGAAAAGATTGAACTTGTCACTGACTTCATTTTGCTTGGATCAACCATCACCACTCATGGAAGTAGCAACGAGGAAATCAAATGATGTAATGCATTGGGAAAATATGCTGCACAAGACCTCCTTAAAGTGTTGAAGAGCAAAGATGTCAGTTTGAGGACTAAGGTACACCTGACGCAAGCCATGGTATTTTCAATAACTTCATATGCATGCAAAAGTTGGATAGTGAATAAAGAAGACTGTAGAAAATTTGATGCATTTGAGTTATGGTGTTGGAGGAGAATATTGAAACTGCCATGGGCTGCTAAAAGAATAAATAGATCTGTGGTGGAAAAAATACAGCCAGAGTGCTCCTTGGAAGCCCGGGTGGCCAGACTTTGTCTTTCATACTTTGGACATGTTGTGAGGAGGCTACCAGTCACTGGAGAAGGATATCGTGTTTGGTAGAATGGAGGGTCTGAGAAAAAGGGGAAGACCCTCAACGAGATGGATTGGCACAGTGGCAGCATTAATGGGCTCAAATGTAGCAACAATTATAAGGTTGGCCCAGGATCGGGCAGTGTTTCGTTCTGTTGTGCATAGGGTCGCTATGAGTTGGTACCGACTCGATGATACCTAACAACAACAATAAGGGAAATAACACTAAAGAGGTATGTGAACTTAAGAATAATCAACCATTTTAAATGAAAAGGGCAGCATTTACCAACAACAAAGTTCAGGATTAGAAAAGAAGGAGCAATAGAAATAGGAAAGACAGGGAGGAAGTGTATTAATTGATACTATGTCATAGGGATTGTAATAAATCAGATGAAGCAAATGTATATGAATTCTTTAATGGAAAGCTGATTTGCTCTGTAAACCTTCACTCAATTCATAATAAAAACTAAAAAAAAAAAGCAGTTGATTAATGAGTTAACGTGTGTTCACATTGGAATTTCTTTTGAAAGAAATGTTGTTTTTACTAAGTGTTGTTGAGTCAGTTCTGACTCCTAGAGACCTTGTATAGAGTTTCCAAGGAGTGGCTGGTCGGTTTGAACCCCTAACCTTGTGGTTAACAGTCCAGTGCTTAGCATACAGCACCAGACTGGGACTATTTGAAACAAATAGTTCATATGAATTTAGTTTGTTAGATAGTAGGGTGGACAAGAATTCTCTCCTTTTATTTGCATCTTCCTTAGAAGCATAAATGACTCCTAGGCCAACGATAGTTACCATTTGTTAATGTTTTTGGTTTTGTTGTTAAGTGCCGTTGAGTCATTTCCGACTCATAGTGACCCTGTATACGGTTTCTGGGGAGCAACTGGTGGCCTTGAACTGCTGACCTTATGGTTCAAACTGACCTTGCAGTCCAGCATATTAACCCACAGCGCCACACCAGGATTCCACCATTTGTTACTATTTCCTGCTTAATGTTATAATTCATGTTGATACTTTGATTATTATCTTTATCTCTACAAACCCACCCAGGTAAGTATCACATACTGCTGATGAGGAAACTAAAGTGGCTTGCCCTGCATTACTCAAGATCCCAGTCCTGGCTGATTTGCTTAGAGTTTACTGCTCTTTTCACGACATTGTTTTGATCAGTACTGAAACATTTGTTATTGTCTTTGTCTCACACAAGCAGTGAGAAGCATGGATAAGACCTGATTAAAAAGTCCTTTGGAGCATTTTTTCCTAATCAGAGGGTCATATCTTTTCTTTTTGGTTTCCCCAGGCACTGGTAAGACCTCTACTTTGGTCAAATATGCTGAGAAGTGGTCTGAGAGCAGGTTTCTGTACGTGACATTCAATAAGAGCATCGCAAAGCAGGCTGAGCTAGTCTTCCCCAGCAATGTCATCTGTAAGACCTTTCATTCTATGGCCTTTGGACACATCGGGCGGAAGTGAGTATTGCTGTTGTGTCATCATTGTTATTTCTTACTGATGTTTGTCACAATGTGATCATTATGTTTATATATGAACTGTACTCCACAGTGACCAAGAAACTTGAATGCTGGTAGCTCCATGTATAGGCAGAATATAAGAAGACAGATAGTGCTTGGTACTTTCACCCAGTAAAAATATATTATTTACAAATCACAGTAACTTTTAGAGGTGGACATTCTCCTTTCTCTGTAATGAAGCATAGAAAGTCTTGTCTCAAGTTCAGAGTATCACAAATCCTGATTAGTTTTAACTTCTTAGAAGGATAGGGAAGGGGAGAATATTTTGATGAGGCACAATCAATTTAGATTTCCTGGGACCTTCCGAACCACTATTACCTTGGACTTGAAGTTTCAAGGAACTTCATTGCACACCTGGAACCTCTCAGAATCTTGACTGTACCTGGAAATAGTAGTAATGTCTGTCTTGAGTGAATATGTGAATTCCTGAGAGCCTACTGAAAACCATTTCAAACTATAATTGGACCTTGCAGACATTCTTTGGTTTTTTTCCCCCTCTCGCCTGTATGTGACACATCGAACATCTGTATTGTGTAATCAGAGAGAATGGGACATGAGTTGGGGGAGACACTATATGCAGCAATACCAGGAAAGCCAGATATTGTTAATTTGGGATATGTATTACAGGTACCAATCAAAGAAGAAATTGAATGTCTTCAAATTAACACCCTTCATGGTCAATTCTGTCCTTGCTGAAGGGAAAGGCGGATTCATAAGGGCCAAGCTAGTATGCAAGACTTTAGAAAACTTCTTTGCCTCTGCTGATGAAGAACTGACTATTGATCATGTGCCTATTTGGTGTAAGAACAACCAAGGCCAGAGAGTCATGGTTGAACAGAGTGAAAAACTGGTGAGTATCTAAAATAACATTAGGGATATGGGGATAAACTAGAAGAGTTGGCATGGTTTTATTTGTAGGAAGTTAAAGATGTCGACCCAGAGAGATAAGTGAATCAATCATACAGTGTTTTTTGCTGCTAACAACTCTCATAGACATCACAGTCCTCATACCTAAATGTCTTCTTCTTTGCCAGATGATACACATAGACTTACTTGTCCAAGGTTATAAGAGCTTGTCATTTTACCTACTAGACCTAGAACGTGAGCTTATCTAAAGATTGGAAATGTCTTTTAAAATTTTTTAAAGTTATTTGTATTACGTAGATTGTGCTAGTGGCACAATCACTGGTCATTCTTTTTGTGAATTAACTGGCATTCGCAATCTATAAAAATAATCTAACCTTTTCTGGTGTATCAAACAATATGCTCTCTGAACAGTATCTTGTCACTGGAATTGTTCCTGCCCTATCTCTGCACTTGAGAACCAGAGACTCAGCAGTCTTAAAAACCCTGTTGTAGGCCCATTAACGAATGATGTGAGGAACAACAGTTCACAGTACTGTGATGATGCCTCTGAGTTGGTCTCTGTGAAGAAATGAGCATGTAGTTTCAAGGTAGTGTATCACTTGCTTTCTAGAATGGTGTCCTTGAAGCGAGCCGACTTTGGGACAACATGCAGAAGCTGGGGGAATGTAAAGAAGATGCTTACCAAATGACACATGATGGTATGGGAGTTTCCAAATATTGGCATCCGTTAAATATAACCACATACTTCTGAGTTACAATTCTTGATACTCCTTTCTTTTAGGCTATTTGAAACTCTGGCAGCTGAGCAAGCCTTTGCTTGCCTCTTTTGACGCCATCTTTGTGGATGAGGCCCAGGACTGTACCCCAGGTGATAAACTATTCAGGACATCAGTAGTCTCAATACATAGAAACAACATCATGATTATGTAAGAGGACATATAAGTGAAATAAGTTGATTATTCTTATTTTTGATAAAGAAGAGGAGCAAATGATACTTTGTTATTCAGAAACGCTTTTTATTTGAATTTGAATTTCAACAGCTGTCCCCCTTTCCCTCCCAAGCATATTTATTTTCCTCCAAATGTTTTGCCTAGGTTATTCTTACAATGTTGACTAAGTATAGGTCATCAGATTATAAGGACCAGTAGCCTAGACTCATATTTGAATGGAGTAAAGGTGATCAGTTTGCAGTGAAGAATTGCATTGTATGTTTCTCATGTGCCTGTTAGAATGTAGACTATATCATGAGTGAATTTCTGGGTCATTTTGGGGTTTTATGTTATGATACTATGTTGTTGTTGCCGCTAAGTGCCATTGAGTCAGTTCTGATTCACAGTGACCCTGTATAAGGTTTCCAAGGCTGTAAATCTTTGGAGTAGCAGAAAGTCTTACTTTTCTCCCGATAATACTCAAGCAAGGTGACAATTGGTCTCATTTTATAAATGCCTAAAGTGGTTTCTTATACACAATCATTTTTCTAGGACTAAAGATAATCTGCATTCCTAGAACCAGAAACTTTCTTTTGTACCATAAGATTATTTCTTTTGATTGAGCACGTCTGTTTTGTAGGAAAAGACAGTTCTGCTCCTCAGTGTACCTTGTCTTAGCTTTGTAAAAGCATTTTCATCCTTATCTTTCTTAAATCTGGTTTATTTTAAATTTTTATTTTTTTGCTGCGCATGCTGGAGTTCTTTCAGGTCTCTTATTTTCCCTCTTGTTTGGTTGCAGCTATCATGAATATTGTTCTGTCGCAGCCATGTGGGAAAATCTTTGTAGGGGACCCACATCAACAGATCTATACGTTCCGTGGTGCAGTCAATGCGCTGTTCACAGTCCCACACACTCACGTCTTCTATCTCACCCAGGTAAGAACTTTCTCTGTTTCTCAGTCCCCATAAGCACATAAGCAAACATTTTATTTCCTTAGCCTAGTTCTTCAGTGTGTGACATGTGCCTAGCACCAAGTGAAGCCTTGAGCTAGACTGAAAGTATATAGCAAATCCTTGCTTCTTAGCAGCGGTTCTCAAATGTGGTTGTCAGAGGGCTGCTTTCATTACCATGATTTGCCTTTTTCACCACGCTGACATTTGCACTGATGGTGAAAGGCGATAGTGGGCGAAACTGCTGGTTCCATAGCAACAATCAAGGCTTAGTCACCAAACTGCTGTTGTCTTCTTTAATGCAGCATACTCAGAAAAAGCAATTCACTTAAGAATGCTATTGATGATTAAGTTTAGTAACTCTTGACCCTTGAGTATGCCTCTGCTATTCTGTGTGATGATATGCAAAGTACACCCTAAGTACTTCTGCTGCATACTGAAGTATGATGGTTGTCTGAGGAAAAGCACCTTTGTGATTGTGAGCTGAACTGGCTATTTTTTTCCTGTAACATCATTTTTACTTGAAACAACAGCTGACAGACCACCTCTGGTTGTTAAGACTTGGATGACATTTTCTCAGAAATGAAATGTGACTTCAAAGAAAACAACTGACATTGTATGTTGCCAAAGATCAAATTCTTGCTTTCAAGTAAAAATGTAAATTTTAGAAAACTTGTATTGGCCACCATGAGCATGACAACTTCCCATACAGAATTTTATAATGAGATTATTGAGGATATTAACATATGCAAGTTTGTTTCTTTTATGTCAAGTTATGAAATGTGTCAGCATTTAGAAGAATTGTGCAAGTCATTGATCTAATATTTTCCAAATGAGTGTTATATAATGTTACAGAATTATGCATGGGTAAAAGATCTTTTTAAGGAACAGATAGACCAGTGATGGTAACACAACAGAGTACAGAAAGCTCACTGATGTGCTTTCTGATTTCATGTTGTTAAGTTTTGGTATACTATCGAAGAATAATATTCTTGATTATCTGAATAGGCCATTAAACAGTCCCCTTTTTTTAAGCTACATGTCTGTGTGAAGCTGAGCTTTCATTATATATTTCAAACCAAACAAATATCATAACAGAATGAGTGCAGATATAAATATGAGACTATAGCTGTCTTCTATTAAGCTAAGCATGAAGGAAATTTATAAAAATGTAAAATAGTGGTTTTCTCCTTGCTAAATTAAAAAATATATGTAGTTATATTTCAAAAGTTGTTATTTATATTCTCATGCTATATGGTCATGGTTTTTAAATGAATTAAATATTTTTAAATTTTCTCTTTAAAATTTCAGTGATAATTTAAAGATATTTTGAAGTATTTAAAAAATATTTTTTAGTGCCTAATGTGATAAATATTGATAGATACAACTCACATAAATGAAAGTCCCTTGGAGACCTTAGTAATTTAAAAAGTGCAACTCAGTAGTTGTTGTTAAAGTGCCATTCAATAGGTTCCAACTCACAGTGACCTTGTATAGGATTTCCGAGGAGCAGCTGGTGGGTCTGAACTGCTGACCTGTGGTTTGCAGTCCAGTGCTGATCCCAGTTTCACACCAAGAGTCCACTTAGTAATTAGTACTTAAAATATTTTTAAAGTCATTTTTAAAAACTCCAAGAAGTTTGAGAACTGTTGCTTTTAAGAAACTCACTACTAGTTAGATGATATGAGATATATCACTTTTGAAAATATGTAATCTAAGCCATGAAAACATTATGCTAAGTAAAATTAAATCAGTCATAAAAGGACAAATGTATGATCCACTTATATGAAATATCTACAACAGTCAGGTGTTTAGAGACCAAAGCTTATTAGTGGTTACCAGAAGTGGGAGTGATGGTAGGGGAGAGGAGGACCCATTGCTTAGGGAATATTGCAATTTGTTAATTTAAGGGTGATGGGAAAGCTTGGAAGCAGTTAATAATGGTGGTACTTGAACAATATGGTGCACATAATTTGTATTTCTGAATTGTACGTGTAAAAACTGTTGAAATGGAAAGTATTTTGTTACATGCATGTTCATATTTACTTTGTTGTTGTCAAGTGCCATTGAGTTGGTTCCGACACATATCTACTATGTATAGGGTTTCTGAGGAGCTGGTGAGTTTGAACAGCCGACCTTATGGTTCAAATTGAACCTTGTGATCCATTGCCTAACCTATAGTGCCACACCACTACTCCTTATATTTACTTGAGTAGGTTTTTATTTCCCCTTTTTAAAAAGTGTTTTCAGGTGCCATTCCATCAGTTCTGACTCAGTGACACTGTGCACAACAGAACGAAACACTGCCTGGTCCTGTTACATCCATCCTCACAACTATTGTTATGTGTGAGGCCATCGTTGCTGCCACTGTGACCATCCATCTCATTGTGGGTCTTCTTTTTCACTGTCCCTCTGTTTAACCAAGTGTGATATTCTCTAGGGATTGATCTCTAGTGATAAATAATGATAAAGACATAGACTTTATTTTTAGAAAAATTTTATACTTGAGAATATAGTATAGCATTTCCTTGTTTCTTCCACCTATTTCCCCCTATTATTATGTCTTATATTAGTCTGATACATATGCCGTGATTAATGAACCAGTTTTGGAGTCTTGAGTGTGTCTATTTTATTATGGCACTGTAGGATAAGCACTGGACTGATAATTGCAGGGTCGGTGGTTCAGACCCACCAGATATGCCTTGGAAACCCTTTACATGGTTGTCATGAATCGGAACGGACTCAACTTACTTAACAACAGCAACATTGATACATTATTAACAAAGCTGCTTTATTCAGATGTCTTCAGTTTTTGACTATTGTCTGTTTTTTTTTTTTAATTATTTTTAAGTTTTTATTGTGAATTGAGTGATAGTTTACATGGGAGAACACTGATTTTACATGATTGTTTCATTGCAATGATTACAATCTCCTCCGTGCATCATCATTCAACAGTATTTGTTTCTATTCCCTCTGGTTTTTGTTTTTTATTTGTCAGGGGATGCACATAAAAACACTCAGGAATATATAATCATTTAAACAACCAACGGGCACATTCTGCAAGCCTGACTCCTGGCTTCCAGCACCCAGTCCCTCTCTTTTTCTGAGTCCAGAGTCCTCAGCTTCTCCCTCTCTCCATGTCCTCATCTCTGCCTCCATCTCTGGTGTCGTTGCTTCTCTGGATAGGGTCCCACATTCTCCTTGTGCTATTCTCCCTTGATGGTCCTAGGGCCCTCTATTTCTGGACTGTAAGATTAACTACTCCCTTCTTTTTGTTACAAAACTTCTGCCTTTACAGATGTGACAGTCGCAATTAGTCATGATAACAGTTACTCACTATTGAATTATAAGAATCTTATCCCTATCTCTTTTCACGAGACCCATCTAGACAAGATGAAAACCATTCAGTGGGGACTCTCTCTTACCCTGCACACTCTTAAACTATACGCTCTCTTGAAAACTTGTAGGCCAGTCACTTCGTGCCTTTATCATCCTCTCATTTTAGGTAGCCAATTCTAAGTTGCCCGATCCTATCTACCCTGTATACAGAGGGGATAGGATTGATCCTTGATATGAAGACTCCTTCCCTCTCAGTTGGTATTTTGAGCTACTATATCCATAAGTATAGGTCAAATTAATCAAACTGTAGCAATTTACACTTGTTTCCTTTATCAAAAAAAAAATATATATATTTTTAATCTTCCTCTAGTCGAGTTCTGATCATCAGGCCATCAAGGCTAGGTCGAATGGGTACGATCTGCAAGTTTGGGTGTTCTTGTGCCTTTCCCCTCACTTCACATCAGCTGGATGCTTCACTCTCAGCTCTAGCCCTCTGTGGCTATGTCCTTGTCCGTGGGCTCAGGTGTCCCTAGGTCTTACCACACATGACCAACCAGCCCTTCCTCTTCTCTCTCTCATCTCCCGATCAATGGGAGACTATGGAATGTGGTTGAGCTCAGCCCATTTCTTCATTGCTGCCTTTCCCCCTCTTCCACTCACCAATAGACCAGTGTTGTCGCCAGCAAGCCTACATGCCTGCTCATGTGTTCCCTTTGAGTTTCAGTCTTAGAGTGGGGTTTATCCTGAAAGAACTTGAGTGCTTGCCTTGAAGGCTCCCCGGCGAACAACTCTCTTGTTCTTGTAGTTTGGATATTGTCTTTTGCTCTCCCAGGCTCCCATTTATGATACCAATTTCCATTTAGTTTTCAGGTGTCCTTAGGCTCTTCTTGATTGTGGCATTTTCTCAGGTTTTATTTTTGCATGTTATTGATGACCCTGACAGTTTTAAGGAGTACTGGTCAAGTGTTGCATAGTTGCTTGTCTATTGGAACTTAATCTGATTTTTTTATCATGACTAAATTTTAGTTATGGAAGACCACAGAGGTAAATTGCCATTTACATCACATGATATCAAGAAGACAACACATTATGATTGTTGCAGTTGACCTTCATCATATGGCTGAAATAGTGCTTATTAGGTTTCTCCATTGTAGTTACTTTTCCCCTTTGTGTACTCTGCTCATTGGAAAGAAGTCACTGCACTAAGCCCATACTTAAGAAATGAGAATTTGTGGCCTCTCTGAGTGAGGGTAGAGTTGCTCCATGAATTACTTGAAATTCTTTGGCAAGAAAGACTCGTCTCTGCTCTCCATTTATTTATTTATTTGATCATTTAATATCAGATGAACTCAATATTTATTTGTACTTGAGGTTATGGTCTAATCAAGATAGTTTTTAAGCAATGAGGTACAATTTTTTTGAAAGCCTAGTTTTCCTTTGACTTTGGTGACTATCATCAAAGCATGTAATAATTTATTACCTTAGCTTTGATTACATGGAAGAAATAATAAATACCTTGAGTTTGAGGAAGAGCAGTATCTTTCTAACAAGGAAGTAGGGTCTGGGGCTGGATTTTGAAGGATAGACAGTGGCTTTGGTAAGTGAAGAGAGCTTGTAGCCTAGTGGAACACGCTGTGACTCAAGGCAGGAAGGCTTAGGAAATAGTAATCATACTGTGGCTGCTTTGTAAGGTGGTGGTGGTGTGCTGTGGAGTTGGTTCTGACTCAGGGTTTCCGAGGCTGTAAATCTTTATGGGAACAGAAAGCCTCATCTTTCTCCCGTGGAGCAGCTGGAAGTTTTGAACTGCTGACCTTGAAGTTAGCAGCCCAACTTGTAACCACTATGCTACCAGAGGTCCTTTTTTGTAGGATGGTGATGCTTATGTGCCGTGGAGTTGGTTCCGACTCATAGTGAGCCCTGTACAGGGTTTCTGAGGCTGTAAATCTTTATGGGAGCAGAAAGCGTTATCTTTCTTCCGTGGAGCAGCTGGTAGTTTTGAACTGCTGACCTTGTGGTTCGCAGCCCGATTCGTAACCACTACGCTACCAGAGCTCCTAGTTTGCTTAAAAGAAAAATCTACTGTTGGTGTTAAGGAATGATAGGAAATAGAGGATATCCAGATTGTGAGGAATCTTTAAAGTGAGCACATTCTTTTTGTGTGTGTATTGTTCTTTTTCCTAATGTAGCTAGGGAGTCTGTTATTAAAAGTGGAAATAATTAATCTGGTAGGTATAGAGAATCAAGTGAGAGAGAGAGAGAGAGAGAGAGTTGTTGTTAAGTACCGTCGATTCCGTTCTGACTCATAGTGACCCTGTATAGGGTTTCTGAGGCTGTGGGAGCAAAAAGCGCCGTCTCTCATGGGCTTGAAACGCTGACATTGTATTGAGCTGTCTAATATTTATCCAACAGACGGAGTAGACAGAAAGTAGAAACCAAGTCAGTTCACAATGAAGTTTGAGCTTCTGAACTAAACTGATACAGGTGATGAGAAAAAGATGGTTATAAACATTATGGTGGAGTCCTGGAGTAGTGTTGTAGAAAAAGCATTGTACCACAAGGTTAGCATTTCACACCTACCAGCTGCTCCTTTGAAACTCTATACATTATTCCCTGATCCTCCCCTGCATTGACTCATGTTTTTTTCCACCAGCCTAGAAGTCCTTTTCACCTATCAGTTGTTTTCTCCCCTTCAAAAGCTAGCCCCAGATCCGACTTCCTTGATCACTCATGCTAGAACCCACTCCATAGCACTTAGCAGCAACAACAACAACAAACATCATAATGGTTGGAGTGCCAAGATTTGGATTTGGTGCAAGGGATAATGAAAAGTAATTCTGAAGTTTCATAATCCTATTGCTGTTGAATCAGTTCCACTCTCAGTGACTCTATGTTGTTGTTGTTAAATGCCATTGAGTCTTCCAACCCATAGCAACCCCATATAGGATTTCCAAGGAGCAGCTGGTGAGCTTGAACCGCTGACCTTGCAGTTCAGATGACTTTGCAGTCTGGCGCATTAACCCACAGTGCCACACCAAGACTCCCAGTGACTATTTGTTGTTGTTGTTAAGTGCCATCAAATCAATTCTGACCCATAGTGACCCTGTTTAGGGTTTCCGAGGAGCGGCTGGTGAGCTTGAACCACTGAACTTGCGGTTCAAATGGCTTTACAGTCTGGCGCATTAACCCACAGCACCACACTAGGACTCTCACCATGACTATAGAACAGGGTAAAATTGCCCCAAAGGGTTGTCAATGCTGTTATCTTTATGGAAGCAAATTGCTACTGTTTTTCTCTCTCAGAGAGAGAGCTGGTAGGTTTAAGCCACACCTACCTATTGTTTAGCAGTCAGAGCTTTAACCAACATGTTACAGGGTCTCCTAGAGGTTTCACAATAGAAAATACTATTTTTAACAGTTGGAAATAAGACCAGTGATTCTTTGATTACCAAGTTCCTATTTAGGCACAAGTGGTTTTACAGGTGGGAATTTCCAAATCCCCTTTTCTTGTATAGTGAATCAGGAATAAATAGTTGGGTTTGGCAGCATCAGGACTTGGCAGTGATAGAAATGTGCTAGTAGTATACATGAGGAACGGGTTGCTAACTCCTTTTATTTTGTTGTTTTCCTATAGAGCTTTAGATTTGGTGTGGAAATCGCTTATGTGGGAGCTACTATCTTGGATGTCTGCAAGCGAGTAAGGAAAAAGACTTTGGTCGGAGGGAACAATGAGAGTAAGGTTTTCAGTTACTCTGCTTTTATTTGTTTAAAAAAAAATTAGTTTTCCTCTCTGTTTTGATTTACCACAGAGTTTGTGCTCTCTCCCAAAAGGTGGCATTCGAGGTGATTCAAAAGGACAGGTGGCCCTGTTGTGCCGGACAAATGCCAATGTGTTTGATGAGGCTGTGCGAGTGACTGATGGAGAAGTACCTTCAAAAATCCATTTGATTGGGGTAAGAGTACATTTCTGTTGACTGCTTCAGGCACAGTCACTTTGCAGATGAACGTATCCAATCAAAACGTTCAGCTTAATTAGGATTATTGTATAAGAAAACGTGAGGTTTTGACCGTTTTCTGCTGGCCATTCGAATTATGCTCTGAAGTCAGACCAGTAACAAGAGAGAATCGGATCTCCCACTCTGGAAAAAAGTGAATGTCCTATCTACCTTTCATTATATGAAGGAGGCTACTGGCTGGCTGTTGGGTTTTCACCAGAAATTTTTCTGGTTGTGTGTTGTTCATTGTTCTAAGAACAACTGAGGTAACAACATGCTGGGAAGTTCTAATGTCCTCTAGTGCATTGAGTTTGAACACCTGGGTTCTAGCTCTGGTTCTGTCACTAACTTAGTGTGGCTTGGAGCAAGTCACAACTTCTATGTGCCTCATTCTCTCCTTCTCTAAGACAAAAAGAATGCCTTTTTCTTTACCTGTTTCACGGGGAAGTTAGAGGATTAACTGACATGTGTAGATGGCATTTTTAACTTTTTGGCTAGCATATATTCATTCATTTATTAACGAAAAAATATTTATAAGGGCTTATTGTGTGCTAGGCACTCAATAGTAATAAGTAACTCAATTGAAAGATGTAATTTTCCTTTTTTTATTTATAATGATTTTATAGCCATATTATAGAAATTTTAGAAATTATAAATAAAACGAATCACCCATGATCTCAGTATTTTGTATAATAATTTTCATTTTTCCTACTATATTTTGTCTTTGTCCTTATAGATGTATATTTTTATATAATTGCAATGATAGTATCCATAAAAACTATGTTGTATTTCACTCAGCACATATTTTCCTTCATATTGCTAATGTAATGACTTTATGATATTTCATCCAGTGAATATAGCATAATTTAGCTTTCCAAATAGTACTTTTGGAATAGCATCCATGTTGGGCATAATGAACAGTAAGTTGTTCTCTTCCCCTCTCACATACCCATTTTATCGCCTGTTGTATGTAATGTTGCTCTTGATTACATCTGGTCTCCAATGCTAATATGTTATACTGTCTTATTTTGGTCTCTGTTTTCTATTGATGTTTTATGTGTCGCTTCTCAAAGAGATTATAAAGCCCTGTATGGGGAGCCCTCATCTCTTCCTTGTGTGTTAGTGCCTGGTTTTGTCTAGAGTTAGTGCACACAGCTCTCAGCAAACACTTCTTAGGTGTTGTTGTTGTTAAGTATCGTCAAGTCGGTTCCAACCCCTAGCGACCTTGTATAGGGTTTCCGAGGAACGGCTAGTCAGCTAGAACCGCTGACCTTGTAGTTCAATGACTTTGCAGTCCAGCGCATTAAGCCACAGCATCACACAAGGACTCCCACTTCCTAGATGGGACTTGGCTAAAGCATGAACCTATCAGGATCTTACCTTTTAAAATGTAGGATAATCTGGATCTATAGATAGTCTGTAGTTCTTCCTTCAAAAGAAGCAACGGTAAGTATTCATACTCAGTACTTCGTATTCAGATACCATTTGTATTTTTCATTTCAATCTTTGTATGTTTCTGGAAGATAGATTTAAACTCCCCCTGTATTAGTGAGAAAACAGAGTGCAGCTAGTTTTAAAGATACATAGAAAGAGTGTGAGGGAACAGCCAAAACATAGACGCTGATAATGCTGAATTCCAGCTGCCAAGTAGCCTCGTTTTTTGTGCTCAATGGAGTGTCCTGTTTTGGGTGTGGTTTGAGATCTGTTTCCAAGAAATTGTCTCATTTCAAATTCAAAACAAAAACAAGCAAGAAAAGAAAAACAAAACAAAAATTAAAAATAGCAACGAAACAAAAATGAAAACAAACAAACCCAACAACAACAAAAAAACAAAAATCCCACCAAAAAACTTTTTCAGGGGATTAAATCATTTGGATTGGACAGAATCATTGATATTTGGATCCTTCTTCAGCCAGAGGAAGAACGGAGGAAACGTGAGTACCCTGCTGGCCTTGGTGCAGTGGAAGGAAGCACTTGAGTGACAAGGGATGGGCAAAGAGTGGGCTGTTCTCAGTCAGTGTTCTTACTTTCCTTCTGGAGCAGGGTAGAGCTAGTGGTGCTCGTTTCCCATGAAGAGTGAGATGCCTGAGGCCTCCCCTTTTCAGAGGTCCTGACAGCTCTTTGTGGGCCCTTGTCTCAGAAGTCTTAAGTTTCTTCCTAACATTGGTCCCTTCTGCTGTCTTCCATACCATCTTTCTGTCTGCCTTGGCCCCAAATGAGAATCTCTGACATTTTTCTATAGCGCTTTTCTTTTCCTGGTTGTAGCGCTATTTCACATCCCTGTGAAGGAGGTAAGGAGCTCATGGGTAGGGTTCTTTATCCTCATTTTGGAGATGGAGAGGCTAAAGCACAGGTTATTTCACTGACTTGCCCAGGAACACACAGCAAGTTAGTGAATTAGTCAGGACTAGAACCTGGATTTCCCAACTTGAAAGCCATTGATCTACTATGTTGTTGGTTATAAATGTGTAGCTGTTGCCACTGTACTTTAGTGCAACTTATATCAAGTTAACCTGTATATGTATTCTCTGTAGAACACCTCATTATTAAAGACAAATTTATTAGAAGATGGGTGCACAAAGAAGGCTTTAGTGGCTTGAAGAGGTATGTGACTGCTGCTGAGGATAAAGAGCTGGAAGCAAAGATTGCAGTGGTTGAAAAGTATAATATCAGGATTCCAGAACTGGTGGAAAGGATAGGAAAATGCCATATAGAAGATTTGGACTTTGCAGGTAAGGAAAACAGTTCATAACTTTCCATCAGGAAGAGGAGTACCTGGTCTTCTGATGCTCTTGCTGCATGAAATATCACTTGTGATCAAGGAGTTCTTTGCTAAGTTATTGGTATTGTTTTAAAAGAAAGAGAAGTAAAGCTGTCATTCTGTTTTAGGGACTCTCCTTTCAAACCAGTTGTTGCTAAGTGCCGTGGAATTGATTCCAACTCAATAGCGACCCGGTGTAGAGTTTCCAAGGTTTTAACTCTCTGTGGGAGCAGAAAGCCTAATCTTTCTTCCGCAGAGTCATTGGTGGACTTAAACCACGGACCTTGTAATTTGCAGTCTAGTTCTTACTGTATGGAGCCACTATGCTCCCCTCAAGCTAGTAGAACAGGGCCTCTGTTCCTTTTTCTATAAGATATAGGAGGTGGATGTTCACTTAGAACTGTTGAATATGATTCTGAAATGTACTACTGTCCTGAAACTCATTTTCTTATGTATTTTATTTATTAATATCTTTTTGATTGTAATTTTCTCCTCACTGCCCTGAAGACTACACATAGGCAAGAAAATGTAGTTAAGACTTTAAGAGAACATTACGAGGAGTAAACATTTTTTCTGTGTCTTCTTTCCTTTCCCTGTCAAGTCCCCATCTAACTGTTGTGCTTTTAATTCTAGAGTACATTTTGGGCACTGTGCACAAAGCTAAAGGCTTGGAGTTTGATACCGTGTATGTTTTGGATGATTTTGTGAAAGTGCCGTGTGCCAGGCATAATCTTGCACAACTTCCCCACTTCAGAGTTGGTAAGAAGATTGGCTGCATTCTTCACTTTAGACATTTAAGAGTTGACCGCATGTGTTTGCTCTTGACTGCCTTACTTTCTAATGCATGTGTGGCCACCTAATATGATCCTTATAGAAACAAAATTACCTCCTAATCTTAAACTCTTGATTCTTATGGTGGTTTTTAGAGAAACCAAACCTTCACAGGGTCCACCTCTTTAGGGGCTACTTCTAGGGAGGTTATGTTTATTGTGGCTTACTTAACATGCATGGACTCTTCTAGTGGCGCTGTAGGATAAGCTCTGGACTGCTGGCCCTTAACAACAACAACTCATCATCTTTGGATTTTTCACCATCAGGCATTGGCTGCTTTAGCCTCATAAAAACTGTAAAGTTTTCGTGTAGTTTACTTGCTTACCAAGAGGCTTTTTTCTTTAATTAATCTGCCCCTTTTTAATTAAAGAGGCCAGAAAACCATAAAAGATGAAATAGTGAATATCATTTTCTGCTTTTATGTAAATTTATACTCAAGTCTAGTTATTAAACTCTAAGCATCAGTGCTATTGTTTTAGTTTTAAATGTTAGCACAAACCCACTTGAAATTAACCTAAAAAAAATAATAAACAAGAATTCTCTATTAACCATGGATTCAAAATTTGGGGCATAGCATATAAGAACATATATTTTTATAAGCAGTTTTTTGAGGGTATATAAGTCCTGTTGTGGCGCTGTGGGTTAATGCGCCAGACTACAAAACTGTTTGAACTGCAGGATCAGTGGTTCAAGCTCACCAGCTGCTCCTTGGAAACCCTATACAGGGTCGCTATGGGTTGGAATCGACTCGACGGCACTCAACAACAACAACAAATATATATATATATTTTTCCCTTTCCTTCCTTTATATATTGGCGTGTCAAAATATAAATACTAAAAATTCCTTATCTTTGCTATTGTTGTTAAGTGCCATTGAGTTGGCTCCAACTCCTAGAGACCCTGTATAGGGTTTCTGAGGAATATCTGGTGAGCTTGAACTCCCGACCTTGCAGTTCAAGTGGGCAATTCAGTCCCGCACATTAACCCACAGCGCCACCCCCGGACTCCATCTTTTCTATATAGACTCATAAACTGAGAGGGAGATATGATAGTATGTATAAATTGGAGTAGACTGGGGAAAGGCGGTAACCAGAGAGAGACAGATCAACTGCCTTATGTTTTGAAGTTTACTTAATTTATCATCTTTTTTTCCTTGCTGGTCATTCCATGTTTCCATACTTAATTTTTTTGTGTGTGTGTGAAGAAAAAATTCACCCATTTTGAGAGTATACAGTTTAATAGCTTTTAGTATATTCATAGATCATCTGCTTTTTATTGAGCACCACTGTGCTGAATATTGTGAATGAGAGAGAAGAGTTAGTTGTAAGATAGTCAATAATGATGTGTATACTTATTTTTCTTCTTTTGGTTGTCCCATGAAAAGAAAAGACATTTCCAGATTGCAGTAGGGTAATACCAGAGAGACAGCATAATGAAATGGAAAAAATGTGGGCTTTGGGGAGGAATTGACTAGATGACGCAAGTGGTTAAGTACTCAGTTACTATCTGAATTTTGGTAGTTCATACCCACCTAGACCTGCTTCACAAGATGGGTCGGTGATCGCTTCTGAACGATCACAGCCTCGAAAACCCTGTGGAGCAGTTCTACTCTGAGCACATGTCATGGCCATGAGTTGGAATTGACTCAGTGGCCACTGATAATAGACTTGGGTTCAGATCTTGGGCACTTGATTAGCTTTCGCTTTCATTTAAGTGATTTATTGCGCTGATTTCTTACACAGGATTGTGGAGAGGACGACTGGGGTAATGAATGTATGCATTTATCTGGTATATTATGTAGATTGAATCATTAATGGACAGATTTCAGGATTTACCTGAGCAGGACTAAATAAAACTCAGTATTGTCTGCCACTAGTCTGTTAGGTTTTTGGAGCTGGTGTGTATAGGAAAATTTTATGTATACTGACAGCAGTTCTTGAGTGGGTTTTTTTGGGGGGTGGGAAGAAGTGGTATATTTAGATAAGAACGTAGACTTTTATAGTAGTCTTTTAAGGAAAATGTATATACATATATGTATTTTTTCCTTTCTTTAGAGTCTTTTTCTGAGGATGAATGGAATTTACTGTATGTTGCAGTAACTCGTGCCAAGAAACACCTGATCATGACCAAATCATTGGAAAACATTTTGACTTTGGCTGGGGTAAGAAATATGAGTACCAAAAAATCCCAAACCCATTGCTCTCAAGTTGATCTGACTCATAGCGATCCTTTAAAATGGAATAGAACTGCCCCATAGGGTTTTCAAGATGAATCTTTATGGAAGCAGACCACCACAGCTTTCAGTATCTTCTATGGAGTGCCTGGTGGGTTTGAGTTGTGATGTAGCATTTTGACCACTACACCACCAGGGCTCTGAGACATGGGTTTGCATTTGATTTAGTTTGAGTAAGACATCACCCTTTTAGGCACCATCCTCAAAGCCTTTAGTTCAGGAGCTGAATTATAAGAGGAAGACTTCTTTTTGTATGTACAGAAGCTGATTATTAGTGCAGAAAAGGTTTTAACTAAACAATATGTGGGTTCTTTTCAAATTTAATTTAAAATTATTTTAAAAATATTAACTGTGTACATATATTCTTCATTTCGCCCTGTTCAATTAGTTCTCAACACCCTGTGGAGAGACAGACAAGAATGTTTTCTGTGCCTAAACTTCCTCCCTCCCACTCCCTAGAGCTTTTTAAAATGGCAGTTGCCATCACCAGGGGATGTCTACAAAGGAATATGTCCCTGCAGGGGAGAAGTGTTCAGTCACTGGCCTCCTATCATTAGCAGAAAAGTGAGTGAGTCAGCTCTCACTCTTTACTCTTTACAAAGCAACCTTTTCCCTACTCTCTTTACTTGTAGCTGTTTTTCTGCCTTTCACAGGCTAGAAGAGAAACTGTTTAGTCATTACAAATTAGTTGACAACAAGAAAGAAATTTGAGTTAATAAGGTATTACTTAAGGAGCTCTGGTAGTGTGTAGTGGTTACGAATCGGGCTGCGAACTGCAAGGTCAGCAGTTTGAAACTACCAGCTGTTCCGTGGGAGAAAGATGAGGCTTTCTGCTCCCATAAAGATTTACAGCCTCGGAAACCCTGTGTAGGGTTGGTATGAGTCGGAACCGATTCCACGGTACATAACAACAACAAGAACAACAAAAACAACAAGGTATTACTTAGTCCATTTTTTCCTGGACCAAAGATACTAAATAAAGTCTAGAATTGAAAACTCAAATATGAAAGTTAATATTAATGCTCTTTCTGTAGTTATCTCCAAAGTACATCATTTTGTCCAGCAGGACGATTTATTCAAAGTGCCTTACTGTATTGTTCTTTCAGGAAAGTTGACAATATTAGGATCAGTGGACCCTAAGCATTGCTCTAATGGCTCTGTGCCTTGGCAGGAGTACAGTGACCAGGTTCTAGTAAAAAGTGCCTAGAGTCTCAGAGTTGAATATTTATTGAGTACTTTCTAGGCACTGAGAGTATAATGCAAGGCAGTAGAAATTTCCTGTACTCATTTGGCCCATCTCCTAGATGAAAAAAACGTTTTGTTTAAACAAACTCTATTTCTATTTTTAGAGAAAGGTAATATTGGGGTTAAAAAAGAAGAAATTGCAAATAAATGCTCTGTATAACCTATCATGATGTCAAAGGCTTCTTGCAAATCTCTGTTTTTTTATGTTTTTAATTGTGAACTGAGTGATAGTTTACATAGGAGAACGTCGGCTTTACACCATTGTTTCATTGCAGTGATTACAATCTCCTCTATGCATCATCATTCAACAGTAGTTAAGACTTTAAGAGAACATTCCCTGTTTTGTTTGTTTGTTTGTTTTTTTGGTAGGGGCGGGATGTACACAAAAAACTCAGGAGTATATAATCATTTAAACAACCAAACGGCACATTCTACAAACCTGACTCCTGGCTTCCAGCACCCAGTCCCTCTCTTTTCATGAGTCCTGAGTACTCAGCTGTTCCCTCTTTCCATGTCCTCATCTCTGCCTTCATCTCTGGTGTCTCTGCTTCTCTGGATAGAGTCCCACATTCCGCTTGTGCTCTTCTCCCTTGATGGTCCTAGGGTCCTGTGTTTCTGGACTATAAGATTAACTACTCCCCTCTTTTTGTTACAAAACTTCTACCTTTAAAGTTGTGACAGTCACAATTGGTCATGATAACAGTTACTCACTATTGAATCATAAGAATCTTATCCCCATCTCTTTTCACGAGAGCTTTTTGCATGTCTCTTGTCATTTTTGTGCATCCCCAATCAGTTTTTCTTTACTTGGGCCTCACCTTGTGGTGCTAGCTTAAGCATCACAACGTGGAACTAAAGCCCTTTTTCTGAAGCTGTGTGTTTAGTGGCACCTGGATCACCCAGTGAAAGTTCAAGAGATGGTCTAGAGCAGCAGTCAGCAAACTTTTTCTACAAGGAAACAGCGAATATTTTATGCTTTGCAGGCCATATCATTTCTAGTGTAATTACTCACTTCTGTCCTTTTAGCGGGAAAGCAGTATACACAGTATGCAAACAAATGAATGTGACTGTGTTCCAACAAAACTTTATTTACACAAACAGGCATTGGACTGTATTTGGACCACCAGCTGTAGTTTGCTGACCCCTGGTTTAGATAGTGATAAGTGTGACTTTTCTTAATCTTCAAGCAGCCTTCACCCACTAAGTGAATTTTTAGATAAATTATGAGTTTTTTGTTTAACAACTGTACTATAATATGTTTTTTGACATAAAAATAGTGTTAAACTAGTAGTTAGACCTATAACAAAACCAAATTGTCATTTTGGTAATTTTAAATGGTAGCATTCTAGAACAGTAGCATTATATTATAATATGGATTATATAGAATTTTAAATAATGATAGATTTGAGATATTAAAATATTATGAAAATAGCACATTTTCTAACCAACCATATACATATCATTCCTATATATATTTTGAGTATGCATCTTTAAAGAAAATTGACCTGCTTTCTTTTCCCCTCCCTATAACCACAGTTTATGATAACCACATTTTTTTAGCTTATGAAACTTAAAATAACTCCTTATGGCCTCTACTCCCCACTCCAGAATCATGCTATCATTATTGTCTCAAAAATACCTTCTGTAGTTGTTTTGTTCACATTAGGATACAAGCAAACATTTGGTTGTTATGTGTTTTAAGTTTATTTTCTTTAAAAAAAATATTGTGTATTAGGTGAAAGTTTACATAGCAAATTAGATTCTCATTATACAATTTTCACAGTTAGCATTCTCATTATATATCTTTGCTATATTTTCATTAATTTTCCTGCCTCTTCTTGTGTTCTCATTTTTGCTTTAGGGTAAATGTTGACCATTTGGTCTCATACAGTTGATTGTTTAGGGGAGTACATTATTCACTGGTGATTTTGGTTACTTTAGAAGTTAATCTATTCTAAAGTACCCAAAAGTGGCTGAAAAATGACCTCTTGGAGTAGCTTCAGTTCTGAGTTCAAAAGGTTATCTTAGGACAATAGTTTCAGGGTCTCTAATCTTTACTGGTTCCCTAAGTGTGACTTTTAGGAATCTGAGCTCTGTTCTTCCTTTTCCTCTCCTCTCATTCTATCTCTATATTTGTGTCCTTGGTCAGAATGGAAGAGAGTGGTAGAAGAGTACTAGAAAGCTCTTCTGCTCTCAGGCTAGAAGAGGTCATGGTTCATTAGGGCTATGAGTCCTATGGACTGGTTTCTTCTTTGAGTCTTTGCTTTCCTTCATTCTTTATTGCTCCAGATGAGTAGAGACCATTATTGTTATCTTAGTTGTTTTTAATATCCCAGACACTACTAACCAAGCTAGCAGGTAAAACATCTTTATGAACTGTGTTATAAACTATGGTCCCAAGCCTTCAAACCCAGTAAATTAATCCCGTGAAGTACTTGGTTATATCCAGAAAATACCCCTAACTGTACCTTCTGTGTGCTTTATTATAATATAAATATATGTACAGCACACACAAATTTGTATACCTGTGCCCACAAATACACTTATACATGCACACTCATGTACTCACATATGTCTTCCTATGTGCATACTAACCATGTAACCACACACATTTTTTTTTGGGGGGGGGGTTGTTTTTACTTTTGTTCACATTCTGGTGTGGCACTATAGGATAAGCACTGGACTGCAAGGTAAGTGGTTCAAACCCACCAGGTGCTCCTCAGAAACCCAGTTTTGTTGCAAAATTGTTTTAAGTTATAATATATAACATTTTTATGGGGAAAGTATGCTTTACCCACAAAAGAAAATAAAATACATAATCACGATAAATTCTTCCTCTTTGCCAAGACTGAGGAAGGAAACACCTGCCTGACTACATGGTTATTCTGGGTATTCTGAGGAAGCCTGGGAAATACTGTCCATGTATGTGAACAGATGTTTATAAATCTGAAAGACTTGATATGAGGAAGTTCTGCTTTTTCTTTATCATAGCTCAGGAATAAATTTGGAGACATCCCTTATAGGAAATGGCTAATCAGCCTTCTTTCAGAAAAACCCAAACTGAAACCGACTTTTGCCGAGTCAGTTCCAATTGATGGTCAGTAGAACTGTCCCATAGAGTTTTCAGTTCTGTAAATGTTTACAGAAGCGGACTACCACGTCTTTCTCCTGTGGAGTGGCTGGTGGATTCAAACCACTGACCTTTTAGTTAGCAATCAAGTGCTATAACTATTCCATCACCAGGGCTGCCCTTGCTCTGAAAGGAAGACCATAAGTGATATTGAAGACCTTGTGAAATGAGGTTAATAATTTTGAGGATATGAAAACATGCTTGATGGCATTTTAGAAGTTTTTCACAACTTAGAGCCTTTAACCTATAAGCAAGAATGGATGACACAGCTTTTTCTCACAGCTAATGTGATCACCAGAAGCACTTTTTGTATGAATGTGTAAGGAAGTGAAGGAAATTACGGTATGCTGTTGAGTTATTAAGTGTCATGCCAGTTATGTTGCTACAAGTTGACAGCTTCTTAGCCTCCCGAATCTACGATTCTTAATTCACACCTCACATCTCTTCATTCACCGCAGATCCTTAGAACAGTGCCTAGCACATAGTATGTGCTCAGAGTTTGCTAAATGGATGAAGGGAATACCTCTTCCCATTTTGTGATTGGTCTTTTAAA